AAAAAAAAAAAAAAAAAAAAAAAAAAAAAAAAAAAAAAAAAAAAAAAAAAAAAAAAAAAAAAAAAAAAAAAAAAAAAAAATGCAACAGAATTAAACTTGAAACATAAACTTCACCAAAGAGAAGCACGGCAATTTTAAAATATAAGAGTAAAGAACACCCTAAAGTATTTAGTAGGCCAAAGCTATCAAAACCGACAATGAATGTTTTCTTATGTGATTTGTACATTTTGGGGGAGAGGGGGGTTATTTTTTGGCTTTTTCACTCCCAACGGGAGTTTATTTCCTTGAACAATTTTTGTTTCTTTCATTAATCGATGAAAAGCTCGTTCTTGTAAGAGAAAAAGATTATTCATTATGCAATTGAAGTTTAAAAGACATTCAAAAGAAATGTAGAGAATAAATAAAATAGCACCTTTGTAGGTCCTGATGCGTTGCCCTTGTAAACTTCCTTGCTAATTGAACGTTCCAATATCCTTTTTGCCCAATCCGGTGGATTCCTCTCCAAAGCTTCATAAACACACTTTCTAATTCTAGTTCCTACATTTGTAGGCAACTTTCTAACAGGTTCTAGCACTCGTGCCCACTCTGGCATATTACCATCAGTAACCAGCACCCTCTCCCAACCACCAGTTGGGTCAGAGACTTCTTCTTCTATTGTAATAACATGCTTTTCTCTATTCAATGATCCAAAGATTTGCTTTGTAGCCTCTGCAAGCAGCTGAAAATAACAAATATTAGTGTTGACCCAAAAAATAAAAGATTAAAAGGGTAACAACTAATCTAACATGCCAAAACAAAAGAACCCCGTAAACTAAACGAGGGAAAATATACATGTCATGGTTATGGACAACATAATCTCAAAACTAACATGGTTACAGTAAAGTAGTTGACCCTCAGAAGTTGAAATTGATTTTCAACTTATTTGACAGGAAGAGGGTAAACATACTTTATTAGAAGGAAAAGATGTTTTTCCTTCAAAAATCCTAATTTATGAGCCTACTAAAATGCTAAAAATACATATCCACGTGGAAGCTAATATGTCAATCATGTGCCTTCAGGCTTTTCTATCAAGTTAAAATCATAATACATAATCCAGCCTCAATCATCAAATAAGAACCATAGGCTATCATGGTGAGACTACATGTATTATCTTTCCTTACAAAATACTATGGGCTGAAAGGTAGAAAAGAAAATCAGCACCGGCAACGGAAGTTTAACATGAATAAAAACTGCAAGAAACGTGAGTTGCCACACTAAATAAAAGATGTAAAATAACTATAAGCCGTCTTACAAATGCATCTGCCTCCATCCCAGCCACTCCAGTGAGAGAGCCACAAAGCACACCACCATCACCTTGAAGGCATCGAAAGACTCTTCCACTTTCTCGAGCAGTTACTTCGGCTGACTCAAGATTTCCATCCATGGATAAGACAGCCAAGATGTACCTGTGAGCTAATTCTGGCCATGTTAGTTCATTGAGAGGGAGCAAATTCAGCTTCATTTTCCTAATAGAAGTTGCACTATCTGCATCCTTTTTCCTTCCTCGCTTTGGTTTTGACTCTCCAGAATCAAAATTTGGATCCACAAGAGCAGCTACCTTGGACTGAAGCTCAGTGATTAGCACTCTTAACAGAGAAGTGTGAGCTTTTGTAAAAGCTGCACCCATGCATCTGCTGTTTGTTGAGGAAGCTAGATTACCTTCCTTCATCACCCTTGTTTCCATTTGTATAAATGCATGTGGATCTCCATTAGCATTAAATTTTGAAGATACTCGGTCATTTGAGAACTCGGTGTTAAGAGAATTTAACAGCTGGTCTTTCTTAAATTCACTTTCAGACTTTTGGAGAGTATTAGCCCCACCACCCGGCAGGTTGAGAAGATCTTCCTCAAGTTCCTCAAGAGATAAGGCCTCTTTAAGACCCAAGTTTTCATGAAAACGAGATAAGAAATCCCAAACCTGGGTCATTAAGATAACGTTGAAAGGTTTCATGCTAAAGAAACAAGATTATATGTCCAAATTAAAAACACAATTTAAATTAACTTAAATTTAAAAAATAAAAAAATAAAAAAAATAAAAAAGAGAGAGAGAGAAGAAGAAGAAGTTAGCATATACCTGGTAAGCATCAACAGCAAGCTCAGGAGGAATATGCAAGCACAAAAGCTTCCCAGGAGGGGGATTCTTGTCATTGGCATCGCCATCACCAGCAAACTTGGATTTTTTCAATCTTTTAAATAAAAAATACAGTGGCTCATCTTCTTTACATTCTTCTCCATCAAATTTCTGAACCTCTAAGACTCCATTTTCAACTGTTGGCAAAGTTGCACTGTGTATTCTCTTATTTACAAACCGATATCTTGAACAGGATTGAATCCGTGGAACTTTTTCAAGTATTTCTTGCACAAATTCAACGTCTAACCCAAATCTATCCTGCTCCAGCCACTTTTCAAGTTCATCAGGCAAACTGCGTCGCTTGTTTTCGACTTCAACCTCAGATCGGATGAAGGCAGAATTTGGAAAGCCACAAAATTTTGCTAATCTAGAGTTCAGTTCACTATTGTCTCCAATTCTACACTGGCCTAGAAAACCCTGTTCGTTACCAAAATGATTACAGTAGAATCTAAAAGTGCTTTTCTGATTGCATAATTTAGAACATGCTTTGATCAAATCATGTGACATCCTTTTCCATGCTGTTGATGATGAAGTATCTTCAACTGAAATCTCACCAATTTCATCCCTCACATACAGATAATCTGAGAGGTTTTCAGACTCTGCAATGGAACTTGCTTCATGATGCAATTCATTTCGCATTCTTACATTAAAAGGTCGATCAGAACAAGTACCAAGACAAGACAAAATATCATTTTCATTTGGTGGACAAAGGTCTGAGAGAATCATCTGTAAGTTCTCATCACCACCACTATTAATCAAACCATATTCTTTGTCTTGTTCAACAGAAAAAATCTCACTTTTTCCCCTAGAGAGGACAGTTGACCCTACTGGAATTGGAAAAGCAGAGCATGGACACCTCCTAACCCTAAAGAGGGGTCCAGAATCACCGCCATCTAGCACTTCACTTATGAAAAGAGAACCAGTAACCTTGTCATGCCAACAAGATCTATAACCTATTGGACAAACCCGGGTAACATCATGATATGCAGGTCGTGCATCAATTTCTCCCAAGGAAAGAACAAAGAAGTCTTCAAACTGAAGTGGAAATCCTTCCTACGCAGTAAAACAAAAAACAAAAAACAAAAAATAAATCGGTAAGAAAAACAGCAATGACCGAATCAGTACATAGGCAATGTGGGGAAAGATTAGAGATACTTGAACAGAATAAACAAAAAGTAACTAGTACACTCACATAACATTTTGATGAAATGGAACCTCCATTCTCTTCTGCCACAGCTTCCTCAGAATTTTCAAGATTTACAACTGTAACAACAGATGGGCTTTGACGGTCACACAAGAGTCCCTTACATCGATCATTAATCAAACTCCCATTGTTATCAGTAAAACCATTGGCAACCAGAGACTTGGTTGGCTTCCTTCTTTTTGGTATATAAGACTTTCCAGAAAAATGTGATGACCCTTGTCTTCTTGCTTTGGGTTGCATAGAAGACATCAACCCAAGATGACAAGCAACTTCATAGACTGAACCAAAAGTCTTTCCGTCAGGTGCATGGTAAATAGCATAAAGTTCGCTGTCAACTGATTGTTTAATCTCTACACACCATCCTTCCTCCAACACACCATGCCTCTCAGAAATAAACTCTCTAAGCGCCTGCAAAAAGACTTCACTAGTATTTTGAGATGACAATTTAACTGATGTGCCCCTACTACTTTTACAACTCCCTATAGGACAGCCCAAATCTACATCCAAGCTTCTTCCCACAACCTGTGTCTGCTGCAATATGTCTTCTAAACCCATCTTCACTTTGTTTTTCACAATATCCGACGCTCTTTGAAGGCCATATCCATTCCCTGAATGTAACAGTGTTCTATATTTCGGAGATGAGCTAAAGGGAGTACCACGAAAAGAATTATCTACTGCAGTGTGTTTTCTAGGAAAGGAAAAGATTAAAATTGGAGTAAATTAATCTAATAATAAAATAATAAAATAAAAACAGCACATTACTGCGTACTAGTTTAATCTCATGAAATAGAGTCAACCATAGTTGACAAACATGCATATCTTCAAAAGTAGGCAGATGAAAAACATATGACGCAACAGCATTGATAAGAGTACGGCATCCTCCAATGTTCAAGTTAGAAGACTAACACAGAGATATGACATTGTAAATTATGTGAGACAAGCAAACAACCCATGCAAATAAACAGCAGGAGATGAACCCATGCATTGTACTCCGCAACCCATTTTATCCCCTTCAACAAGACCATAGAGGTAGAAAGCACATTTAACTGGCCAGACTTCTCTTGAATATGGAAAATAATTTCCCCAAGGTCAAGATGTTCGAAAATACTCAGATTCACAGCCTTCAATATTTAAAGTTTGTTCTTCCCAAATTTACGAAGCTTGCAAGTAACAATAAATATCATATAGCTCATCTTCACAACAACCACACTAAAGAAAAAGACATTGCCAGAACACATGCAGAGGGGTTAACAGGATCTAAGAGCATATTCTCTGACACAAAAGCATGCTAACGGGAAGTTATTCTTTTGGAAGCCGAGTGAGACACGAAACTCCGAGCGAAAAAACTAGACACATAATTCATGAGTGTTTCATTTCACTATTTCCAAAAAAATTAATAAGCCTACAATCTATAGATACTTGCATGTTCTTCGTATTATACGTGAAGCACTAATCTTCAAACATTTAACATTCAAAACGACAATAACTCCAACTAAAATTTCATAAGATTAAAAATTTATAACTCAAAGTTTTCGTGGAGGAGTGGAAACTCAAAGCATGCACTCCAGAAACTGAAAGCAGCTAGCTAGAAGAGATCTAAAAGTAACTAAGCCTTTTATTTCCCATTCCACCCACAAAACCCCATATACCTGAAACCCGGCAATTCATCACCATCCTCGGCATACACATCACCATCACTAGGAGGCGAAGCGTTAATATCCAACAGCTGCTTCGACTTAACCCCAAGCGGCCACCGCTTACTTTTCACGCCGCTGCTGAAACAGTCCCCACAGACCCAATCCTCGAAATTCAACGCATGAGCACTCCGCATTCCGGTGCAGGCCAGGTGAAACCCCCGCTCGCATCCGTCACACACCACCACATGGCCGCGCACTTCCAGCAGACCACACAAACCACACACGGAGCCCCGAACCCCGCGTGGTACATGGGCTGCGTCTCCATCGGAGGGCGGAGGGTTGTCATGGAAGGAGCGGACAACGTCGAATGTATCAGATATAGTCTCGGAGAAAGAAGAAGGAGAAGGGATCTCGTTGAGATCGATGCCTATGCCAGTGCCGGAACGGGTGGTGGAATCAGTGGGGTTGGGAAGGTTGTTGAGTTGTGGGTGTTCGTCGCTGGAATCGGCGAGTTCCATTATCCGAGAAGGGGTTCAAAGGTGAAGTGAATGAATAACAGGATAAAGGATAGTATCATTGCTCAGTTGAGTGATTCCGGCGGGTAATCGGAGAATGCGAGAGGGATCGACGGCTGAGATTTGAGGTTTTTGGTGGTTCTGTTTGGTTTTGATTTTGAGCGAAATAGGAGAATGAAGAGAGGTGGGGGATGAAGAAACTGGGACTGAAGCAGTTTTTGTTTCTTTTTTCTTTTTTCTTTTTTTATTATTTTCATTAATAAATGCTTTTGTTTCTTTTTCTTTTTTTCTTTCTCCTTTTTCCTTTTTTTCCGTTTGGAGAGAGATGCATGCCGGGAAACGTGATGCGAGCGTACTCGCGCTGTACATTTAACACGTCGGAATCGGAAGCAACTAAACTGCTCCAAACACCCGGTTGCCTTTCCGGATAAGGCCATTCGGGTATCCAATTTCAATACTGAGCATCCCGGTTGCCGGTTAGCTGCTTCTATGTTCATATTTACCACCATCAAGTAAATTTTCCGTGACAAATTAGGATTAAAATAAACACAGTAATTTTATTTTTGAAAAGCAAAAAAAAAAAAAAAAAAAAAAAAATTAGTTGATTTTGAAGCTAATTTAATTATAAAAGTAGAATCTAATTTAGCTTCAAAATAAATGAAACACGATTATTGGTCGATCATTAGCCGTTACTTAGGATAGATTGCGACCGTTATTTAGAATATCCGTTACTTCGAATAGATTGCGGCCGTTATTTAGAATAAATCATGTATGCTGATTCGTGATTCCGCCTTGTCGTGTTGTACATATAAGTTAAACGGATGTCACGTGGTGACCGAATAGATCCGTACATTTATAAACGGTTTCATAAAGACAAAAGAAATAATATGTACCAGTAGAAAATAAATTAAATTAATTAAATGCCATATATATTCTAAAAATTCTTAGCTTTAAAATAAAATTATCTTAGTGTAACACATTTAGCTTATGCGACAAATTTATTTTTATTTTTTCTCATCCTCTTGGTTATAAATTGGCACGGGCAAGAATACCGTTAAGAAAAAACATCAAAGGCCCATGAACTAGTGAGGCCCTAAAAACCCAATTCGCTGCTGATTTAAAATATATACTTTTATTTCGTATTACTTTTGGTTAAATATAATATTTTATCTACAAAATAACCAAATTCATCCATTCAAATACTATTTATTTTCTTGTTTTAATTTAGAAAAACATAAAAACCATATAATATAATATAATATATTAATATTAAAATAATAACCAACCTAAAAAGTTACCTAAACCGCTCCCACCGACAAGAAGATAAGGATGTTTGGAACGACCAATAAAATTCTAACCCTTCTTAACGAGGAAGAGGTTAGGGTTTCCATTTAAACAAAACCTCGTAACTTGTGAGTAAACAATACTTTATACACAAAATACATCATTGAGTACGTAACAACCCATACAAAATACTTTATACGCAAATATTCTCCTCTTTCGGCTTTCCATTTCGTGCTTCACCTCGAGCTTTAAAACACGGGAAGGTTTCCACACCCTTATAAAGAGTGTTTTGTTCTCCTCCCCAACCAATGTGAAACATCACAGAGTCTCTTCTTAAACGAAGATTTTATTGGCACGATTAAGTTAAGATAATGACTGTGATAGGAACAACAAACCGAGTCTTTACATTGATACTCTCGTGTCTTTACTTTTGATTTTCCCAGAAGGCGTAATGTCAATGGAAATAATATTCATTATTTATATATCCACGATCTTCCCCTTAATTAATCAACGTGAGACTACAATCATCCTCAACAGGTATTATTAAAATAAAAATATCAAATTAATAGGTATTATTAATAATTTGATATATTTGAAATACAAAGAGGAGGGAAAAAATTGGAGAGGTGGGGAATGGAAAAAACTCCCCGAAACAGATTTTGTTTCTTTTCTTTTTTTTTTATTATTTTTTATTTTCATTGATAACTGCTTTTGTTTCTTTCTCTTTTTTTTCTTTTTCCGTTTTCCTCTTTTTCCGTTTGGATAGAGATGCATGCCGGGGAACGTGATGCATGCGTACTCGCCCTGAATGTTTAACACGTCGGAATCGGAAGCAATTAAACTGCTCCAAACACACCCGGTTGCCTTTCCTCATAACGCCAATTTGGATACTGAGCACCCCGGTTTCCGGTTAGCAGTCTCTAGGTTAATATTTACTAGAATTTCCGTGGGAAATTAGGATTTAAATCAACGACAAAATTTTATTTTATATAAAAAAAAAATAATAATAAATAAGTTGATTTGAAAAGCCAATTTAATTATAAAAGTAGAATTAATTTTAGCTAAATAATAAATAAAACATGATTATTGGCCGATTATTAGCCATTATTTATGATAGATTGCGGCCGTTATTCAGAATAGACGTGTACGTGATTCGCGATTTCACATTTGGCGTGTTGTGCATATAAATTAAATGGATGTCACGTGAAGACCGAATGAACTGTACATCTAGAAACGATTTTATGAATATAAAAAAGAATTAATTAATTAAATGTCATATATATTCTAGAAATTCTGAGTGTAACACGTTTAGGTGGCAAATTTATTTTTTTTCTCGTCGTTTTGGCTATAAATTGGCACACGCAATTAGACCGTTAAGAAAAATCATCAAAGGCCCAAAAAAACAAATGCTCTGCTAATTTTAAAAATATACTTTTATTTAAATATAATCTTTTTTCGTATCGAATAAAAAATAAAAAAGAGACTATTGAATTCGTTGTACCTAGCTTAATTTTTAAAAAAATTACCAAAAAAGGAAATTCATCCATTAAAATAATATTTATATTATATTATTTTACATTTCTTTTTTTGTTTTAATTTAGAAAAACAGAGAAATTAAATGAAAATAAATATACATTTCTTACCAAATTTAGAAATTGGATTCAAATTTAAATATCTGTATATATATATATTATAATAATAAGTATAGTTACGCGTATAGTATGATTTACCATACATTATATAATATATATTTCAATTTCACAATTTATAAATCGAGTTGTCACGTGTCAAATTGTAGTCCACTCCCAAACTTTTTTATATAAAGAAATGACATAATTCGGTGTATATTAAGCTGTAAATTTAATCATAAATTTTGATAGCGGTGTTTATTAAATGATGATATTCTTACCTTCTCATTTTATCACGTGAGCATGTAGAGCTGGTCGACATTAAACAAGTAAAAATTACATAATTTTTTTTTAGAATTTAGATATAATAATAGCAATATTAGTCTTAGATAAAGGCAATATTCTGAAACTAATCAATACATGGAGTTCGATATCTATGAATTTAAATTGATATATATCTCTATAAAAATCATATAATATAGTATATTAATATTAAAATAATAACGTACATGAACCGCTTTCACCGACGGTAAGATATGGAAGTTTGGAATGACCAACAAGATTCCAACGTTATTTTTAGATTAACGAGGCAAAGGTTAGAGTTTCCATTTAAGCAATCTCGTAACGTATGAGTTAACAAATACACTCTATACACAAAATACAACATTGAGTCTCTCCTTAAACAGGGATTCTAGTGACACTATTAAGTTTAGATAATAATTGTGATTGGAACAATGAACCAAATATTTACATGGCTAGATTAATGTTTTTGTTGAATTTAAATACAAAATATTGAAATTTAGAGAAATAAAAACAAATACTTCCCTATACACGATTTACACCGTTTTGTTAGTAAATGACTCTATTATAGGTCATGCTCAGACTATTATGAATAATGTAGTATTTCTCTACACACGATTTATACGTTTGATTGTGAAACCGGTGGTTCCATTTTGGTGGTTTGGATAGGAGAACGAAGAGGGGGTGGGGATGGAAAAAACGGGGGCTGAAACAATTTTTGTTTATATTTTTATTTTTATTTTCATTTTCATTAATAAATGTTTTTGTTTTTCTCTCTTTTTTTCTTTTTCAGTTTTCCTTGTTTTCCGTTGGAGAGAGATGCATGCCGGAAAACGTGATGCATGCATAATCGCGCTGTACGTTTAACACGTCGGAATCGGAAGCAAATAAACTGCTCCAAACAGTACCCGGTTGCCTTTCCTAATAATGCCAATTCGGATACTGAGCATCCCGGTTTCCGGTTACCCGTTTAAGGTTAATATTTACCACAATCAAGTAAAATTTCCATGACAAATTAGGATTAAAATAAACACAGTAATTTTATTTTTTTAAAGAAAAAAAAAAAAACAACAAAAATGAGTTAGATTTTGAAGTTAGAATCTAGTTTAACTAAATAATAAATGAAACACGATTATTGGCCGATCATTGACCGTTATTTAAGATAGATTATGACCGTTATTTAAGTAAATGAAACACGATTATTGGCCGATCATTGACCGTTATTTAAGATAGATTATGACCGTTATTTAAGAAAATGAAACACGATTATTGGCCGATCATTGACCGTTATTTAAGATAGATTATGACCGTTATTTAAGATAAATCGTGTCCGTGATTCGTAATTTCACTTTGACGTGTTGTGCAGATACATTAAATGAAACACGATTATTGGCCGATCATTGACCGTTATTTAAGATAGATTATGACCGTTATTTAAGATAAATGAAACACGATTATTGGCCGATCATTGACCGTTATTTAAGATAGATTATGACCGTTATTTAAGAAAATGAAACACGATTATTGGCCGATCATTGACCGTTATTTAAGATAGATTATGACCGTTATTTAAGATAAATCGTGTCCGTGATTCGTAATTTCACTTTGACGTGTTGTGCAGATACATTAAATGAATGTCACGTGACGATTAAATAAAACTGTACATCTATAAACGGTTTTATGAATAAAAAAAAAAAAATAATAATAATATATACAAGTACAAAAAAAAATTAAATTAATTAAACGGCAAATATATTCTAAAAATTATTAGCTTTCAAATAAAAATATCTCAGTGTAACACGCTTTGGCAAATTTAATTTGTTCTCATCCTTTTGGTTATAAATTGGCACAGGCAAGAACAAGGCCGTTAAAGAAAAATCATCAAGGCCCATTAACAAGTGAGGCCCAAAAACAGTTAAGAAAAACATCAAAGGCCCATTTAGCTAGTGAGGCCCAAAAAGCCCAATGCCTCGCTGATTTAAAATATATACTTTTATTTGTTATTACTTCACGTCGAATAAAAATAAAAAAGAGACCATTGGATTTGTTGTACCTAACTTAATTTTTTTTATAAATGTATGTACAAAAATTGAAATTCATCCCAAAAAAAATTGAGACCATTATCAAGGTCACGATCACTTAAGAACCGACATTAAACGTTAGTGAAAATTACATAATAATTTTTTAGAATTTTAGATATAATAATAGCCATCGCAATAAATAAATCAATGTATATCTATATTAAAACCATATAATATAATACATTAATATTAAAATAATAACCAACATAGATAAGTTACATGAACAGCTCTTACCGACAGTAAAATATGAAGCTTGGAATGACTAATAAGATTTCAATCCATTCCCTTCTTTTTAGATTAACGAGGTAAGGATTAGGGTTTCTATTTAAGCAGTCTCGTAATTTGTGAGTGACAAATCTACTATATATACAAAAGATTCTATTGACACGATTAAATTAAGACAATGCTTGTGATAGGGACAATGAACTGAATATTTACATTGATACATTTATGTTTTTGTTTATTGTTTCTCAAAAGGCTGAATGTCAATTAAAATAGTGTTCATTACTCATATACTCATGACATTCTCTTCAGTTAATCAACGTGAGACTCCAACAATCCTCAAATTAATCACCCATTATTTATATTTTGCTTTCAATGTAAATATAATGTTATTTGAACTATAAAGATCGAGAAAATATATAAAAAAAAATATTGAACCCATTCAATTTTTTCGATTTGTTTGGTAAATATTTAGTTTTTAAAATTTGTGTTTGCTCGTTTTACTATTGGTTTATCTTTTATTGAAAAGTAATTGAATTTTTAGGCAAATTTAGAAAATAAAACTAAGTTTTCAAAATTTTTAAAAACATTTTAAAATTAAATCTATTTTACTAAATTTCTAATTACTCAGATGAATTATTAACTCTCATACTCTACTAAAATGCTGAATATAACTCTTTAAAAAAACCTTATCTATAATATAAATGTCGAAAATATTTAAAATATCTACTGAAAAACACAGTCATTACATTACGTGATTAAATACAAAATATTGAAATCTAGAGAAAATAAAAACAAATACAAAATAATTTATATCCATTAAATGCAAAACAAAGTATTCTAACCTAAGACTAAGAATTTAAATATGAATTATTCTATGCACGTGTCATTTGCTCACGATGTCGTCGTCATCCGTACATGAATGTCTTGTCTTTACCTAAAAAATGATGTGACACAATTGAGTATTTCAAATAATACTCCGTAAATAGGAATTGTTCTACTACGAATAGTGTAGTACTTCTATACCCACGATACACGCGAACGGGAATGAAAATGGGTGGTTTCGTTTTGATGGTTTTGATTTGGAGCGAAACAGGAGAAGGAAGAAAACGGGAGGATGGAAGTAACTGCAAGTGAAACAGTTTTTGTTTCTTTTCTCTTTTTTTCCCTTTTTTTGTTATTTTCAATGCTTTTGTTTCTTTCTCTTTTATTATTTTTCCGTTTTCCTTTTCTTCCGTTTGGAGAGAGAGATGCATGGGGAACGTGATGCATGCGTGCTCGCGCTGTCCGTTTAACACGTCGGAATCGGAAGCAAGTAAACTGCTCCAAACAGTACCCGGTTGCCTTTCCGGATAATGCCAATTTGGATACTGAGCATTCCGGTTTCCGGTTAGCAGCCTCTAGGGTAATATTTACTACAATCAAGTAGAATTACCGTGACAAATTAGGATTAAAATAAACACAGTAATTTTATTTTTGAAAAGGAAAAAAAAAAAAACAAAAATTAATTGATTTTGAAGCTAATTTAATTATAAAACCAGAATCTAATTTAGTTAAATAATAAATGAAACATGATTATTGGCCGACCATTAGCCGTTATTTAGATAGATTGCGGCCGTTATTTAGAATAGATTGTGTACGTGATTCGTGATTTCACTTTTAACGTGTTGTGCAAATAAGTTAAACGAATATTACGTGAAAATCGAATAGAACTGTACATCAATAAACGGTTTCATGAAGACAAAAATAAAAGAAATAATATATATAAGTACAACAAAAATTAAATTAATTAAACGTCATTATATTCTAAAAATTCTTAGCTTTAAGATAAAAATACCTCAGTGTAACACGTTTAGCTTACGTGGCAAATTTATTTGTTTCTCATCTTTTTGGTTATAAATTGGCACAGGCAAGAAGACCGTTAAGAAAAATCATCAAAGGCCCATTGAACTAGTGAGGCCCAAAAACGGTTAAGAAGTCATCTAAGGCCCATTGAACTAGTGAGGCCCAAAAACGGTTAAGAAAAATCATCAAAGGCCCATTGAACTAGTGAGGCCCAAAAGACAGTTAATAAAAATCATCTATGGCCCATTGAACTAGTGAGGCTCAAAAACCCGTTAAGAAAAATCATCAAAGGCTCAATAAACTAGTGAGGCCCAAAAAACGGTTAAGAAAAGTCATCTAAGGCCCATTGAACTAGTGAGGCCCAAAAACGGTTAAGAAAAATCATCTAAGGCCCATTAAACTTAGTGAGGCTCAAAAACCCGTTAAGAAAAATCATCAAAGGCCCATTGAACTAGTGAGGCCCAAAAAACGGTTAAGAAGTCATCTAAGGCCCATTGAACTAGTGAGGCCCAAAAAACGGTTAAGAAAAAACATCTAAGGCCCATTGAACTTAATGAGGCTCAAAAACCCGTTAAGAAAAATCATCAAAGGCCCATTGAACTAGTGAGGCCCAAAAACGGTTAAGAAGTCATCTAAGGCCCATTGAACTAGTGAGGCCCAAAAAACGGATAAGAAGTCATCTAAGGCCCATTGAACTAGTGAGGCCCAAAAAACGGTTTAAGAAAAATCATCTAAGGCCCATTGAACTTAGTGAGGCTCAAAAACCCGTTAAGAAAAATCATCAAAGGCCCAATGAACTAGTGAGGCCCAAAAAATGGTTAAGAAAAGTCATCTAAGGCCCATTGAACTAGTGAGGCCCAAAACCGACATTGAACGTTGATTGAACTAGGTAGTGAAAAATTCCATAATAATTATCAACCCATGAATTTAAATTGATATATATCTAATAATGTGTTAATATTAAAATAATAACCAACATGGATAAGTTACATGATCGACCTGATATGGACCAACAAAATTTCAATCCTTCTTTTTATATTAACGAGGCAGAGATTAGAGTTTCTATTTAAGCAGTCTCGTAACTTGTGAATGAACAAGTCTACTCTATACATAAAATACATCATTGAGTCTCTCCTTAAACTGAGATTCTATTGACACGATTAAGTTAAGATAATGCTTGTAATAGGAACAACAGACCGAATATTTACGTTGATATATTCATGTCTTTGTTTTTTGTTTTCTCAAAAGGCCGAATGTAAATGCAAATAATGTTTGTTACTCATATACTCATGACATTCTCTTCAATTAATCAACGCGAAACTCCAACAATTCTCAACCGCTATCAATAGGATAAAAATATCAAATTAATCACCGGTTATTAATATTTTACATTCAATGTAAATATAATTTTATTTGAATATAAAGATAAAAAAAAAAAAAAAATCAAACCATTCAATTATTTATACTTTCTTTAGTAAATATTTAGTTTTTAAAATTTGAGTTGGTTTTAATATTTGTTTATCAACATTTTCAACTTTTAAAGAAAAATAATTGAATTTTTAGACGAATTTAGAAAATAAAAGGGTTTTAAAAAATTTAAATCTTAATTTATATTTTAAAATATTCACAAAATTTTGAATATTTGCTCAGAATTCATCAATTTCGCCCAAAATCAAACCATGCCTAAATTTTAAAATTAAATCTATCGAGTAATATTAAAATTTATTAAACAATTTAAAAATTTTATGACTATTAGACAAAATAAAATAAGGTTCACAAGCTTTAAAAATATCAAATAATCCAATCAGCTTTCAATTTTGTATTTGATAATAAATCTGTCAATGTTGAATAGGTCATACCTGACATACTCAATTTTGAGACACATAATAAAAATTTGAAGGCTTTACCGAACATAATATGAAAGTTTAAGAATCTATGGACATTTTTAAAACTAAAATATCAAACATTTACAAGCCTTAGTTCATCTTGTTACAAACGTTAAATGTTTTTAATTTTATAATAATTTTAAAAATATGTAAGGTAGATAAGGTAGACATGAATTTTAAACCCTATTTTTTAAATTTTCGAGTTATATTATAAACACACTTTAAAAATAAATTGAAATAAATCGAGATTAGAGTGTTATATATGTTGAATGTTGTTTACTTCAAGTACTATAAATTTTTTTAACTCCAATGTAAAAATTAAATTATACCAAATTTTTTTTATTGGTTGTTAAAGAAATGACGCGATATTTATTTTTAATTTTTTTGAACTTAGGGATATTCGAAAAAGTGAATAAGAATTAAGTTAAAATATGAAAATGATGTCCTGGTTCATCGGAAGTCGGCATTTAAATTTTGGTTCTCGTACCTTGCTACTGTAGCATGGATGGAGAGTGATATTAATGGCATGGGCGAGGGTAATTAATGTTGGATATGTCAGGATATTGTAAAAGAAGGGAAAGGAAAAAGAATAGTGGCAGAGTGAGAAAATTAGGGAGAAATGGAGGGAGAGGATCGGAATCCAGAAATTTAGGAACAGAACAGTAAATTGATTTCCATGGGCGAAGGCGGGGTCGCATCCCGTGTACGCCCTCTCCCTCTGCCGGCCAATCCATCGTCTCTTCTTCATCTCATTTCCATTTCTCCGTCACTGCTACTCTCTCGCCGGTTTCTCCATTTCCACAGTGTCAGTAGCAGCAACTTCCTCTCCTGATCGCCATCACCCGCTTCGTTTTTTTCATCGTTTTTCTCTGGGTACCTCTCAAACTACTTGATTTCTTATTTTTTTCATCTGGGTTTGCGTTAGCTTTCGAGTTTTAGGTCTTGAATCTGATTTGAAGTTGAATTGTGTACTGTAATGATTGTGATTCTTAATGGGTTAATGGGCTAGATCTTGCTCCCTTTTGCTGGCTTGCTCTTTTGAATTGTGGTTTCTGGATTTATTGGATTTTGGGGTTCTGGATCTTCTTTGTTTTTAGTTCTACTTGATGAGTTGCTGATTTTCTATATGGTTTGTTCTTACTTCGTCCTTGGATTCTCTCCTAAGGCGATTGCTGCGATTATATTTGTTTGTATCTGTATGGATTTGAATGAATGAGATGCGATGGGGATTGTTGTGAGTGTAACTCCTGAGAGAGATTTTGTGGGCAAGGAGAGATATCTTCTGAGTGTGAGCCGGGCACTCTCAATTGCGTCTGGGATTTGCTATGTTAGAAGGATTTTGATGGCCAGCTAACATTTTTCTTAAGTTGAAGCTTGCAAAATAGGGAGTTTCATGTTTGATCTTTCAAGAATGTGCTTATGTTTTTTGGGCTGTCAAATGTTTTGGGATGAACACCAAAATGTGGATGAAGACTTGTGTTTGGAAACAACTAATGTATTAGAACGATAAGGGCTATTGTATGCAGACTTCTCATTGATCTTTCATAAAATGAGGATTTCATACAGTTTTCCTTTTTCCTTAGTGGTGCTCTATTGATTTTGTATGTTCTTAGCAGCCATGTCAGAGAAAGCTCTTAAAGCACTTAACACAGTGCCTGGACTGGAAGGGAGCAATGAAAGCCCTTGTAAAGGGGATCTAAGCAAACAAGGTCTAGTGAGTGCTAATGGGAATATTGTAGAGTTGAAAAGACCACAAGTAAATGGTGAAAACAGTAATCCTGGTGCTGAGGTTGGTAGTTCAGAAGTAGAATATATCGAAGCTGAGAATTTGACCGATCTAGACGATGTTTCATCGCGCCTTATGGTATTGATATTACTAGATTTGCCCGCTAACTCCAGTTTAACAGTTGTGGTTGATTGCCATTGATGTTGCACGGTCGGTTTGTGAATGTTGAACATGGATAACGTCTTTACTTGTTTTAAAATTTCAGACGCTCGTAGCTGGATTAAGCTCAAAAGATTGGGTTTTGGTTTGTGAAGCACTGAACAATACGAGACGGATAGCAATATATCACAGGGAAGACATGCTTGATATGCTGTAAGTCGTCTGTGACTCGATTGATTTGGGTGTTTTTTCTTATTTGTATTAACTTTCATTGGAGTTACTTTCTTTTATGGCTCATCTTAGGCAATATAATTTTGTGACAGGGGAGATGTGATATCACTTTTGGTGAAATCAATGAAAAATCCTCGAAGTGCTGTCTGCAAAACTGCCCTTATGACATCTGCAGACATTTTCAGTGCTTATAATGACAAAATGATTGAATCATTGGACCCTATGGTAACTTTATCTTGCACTGTTTGAGTTTAACTTTTTTGTACAGTTTCCTTTTTCTTCAATGGTTATTTATTTCTGAGCTGTGTATGCAATGGAGTGCAGCTGTTGCAGCTTCTTCTGAAGTCTTCTCAAGACAAACGTTTCGTGTGTGAAGCGGCTGAGAAAGCTCTGGTAGCAATGACTAAATCTTTTTCCCCAGAATTATTGCTACCAAAATTGGAACCATATCTTAAGCACCGAAATCCGAGAATTCGAGCCAAGGCTTCAACGTGCTTTTGTCGAAGTGTCCCACGACTGGTGAGATTTTGCATCTTCATTTGAAATTCTTTGATCATTTTATCTTCTCTGTGGCTGTGTACTATCTTATCTTCGTTCTTTTAATTGACTTTCGATTAAACAAAACTCGGCCCAATCCAAATATTTGTCGATAGGGTGTTGAAGGGATAAGAGCATTTGGGATTGACAAATTGATTCAAACAGCAGCATCCCAACTCAGTGACCAGCTTCCCGAGTCGAGGGAGGCTGCCCGAATTCTCCTTCTGGAGTTGCAATCTGTGTACACAAAGTTTCCCGACCTCCCAACAACGATGCCTGAAGACCCAGAGAAGGTCTCTTGGGAAGACTTTTGTCAATCAAAGCTCTCCCCTTTAAGTGCACAAGCTGTTCTTCGTGCCACGAACGTTTCTCGGGAAGGTATTGTCTCGAGTTCTTGATGCTTAGTAATGATGATAATATCGAAACTTCAATGTGTGTACCCCCCCTTGTTCTTGAATCTCTAGCCATGTGAGGAGCTTTAGAACGGCTAGCGTATAGTCCATGATAGCTATTATTCTTTCCCTTTCTTTTGGTTTGCCTTGTCATGTAAATTCTTTCAAAACTTCTGAGGTACTCAGAATACGGTTGAAGTGTGTAGCTTTTGCTATTTTTTTGGCCTATACCTTATAGTTACTTCAATATTCTTTCAGATCCACTTGAAACTCGACATTTTTGGTGTGAATATTATCAAATACAAAAATTGATATCAGTTCATTGTTTTGATATCAGTTCTATGCCTGTTGAAGTATTCTATGCCTATACTTCATTTTTTCCCTAAGGGTATATTGATATCAGTTCATTGTTTTGTGCTTGATTGGATTCCATAGCTCCACCTCTCTCCCTCAAGCCGTTCGTAACAAACATAGTATATTGTATGATGAGAAAATGAACATAAATTTCGAAAATAAAAGACGAAGATCAAATGGATATCAAATGGGATCTGCGTAATGTAATTAGCACTGGTAATCTACAAGGATCTTTACATGGACTTCTGTTAATTATGTTTTCTAACTATTTTGTTAAGATTTTTCTCTGAGTTTGAGTTTAGTTTAAGGGAAGAAGTAAACATTTCATCCATCCATAGAAAAATCAGGTTCATCTGGTTTAAACAACTTTGGCATTTTCAAACTAGAAGCCTTGGATTTTTGGGCTTTTAGATGAACTCCTTTTCTAGTATTGGCAGCAAACTTTGAAGCCAAAAGTGTAGCACCTAGATGCTGAGTTTTGTTCATGTAGTCTGCAGTAGACATGTCCTCATCACTGTCGTCGTCGTCGTCGTAGTTTTCTTCTGCTAGCTCGACGTCATATTCGATATCTTGTTGTATTGAATCTCCATAGCTTAAGCTGTTTCTGAATACTGATTTCTTTGCCAATTTTCTCTTCTTAAGCCTCCTCCAAGCTACTTGTATTAAGCAAGCACCCCAGGTCCTCCATTGATGGGAATAGTATCTAAAGGCATGTTGTAGTTTCTTGCTATGCAGGCGTTTGAATTGTCCGGCGACGAACTTGAGATCCTCAGCTCGAAGGGCGAAGGCTTCAACTTCTGTACGTGCTCGGACAGTTCGAGTAGAAGAAGGCATATTCAAACTGGAACTTGGCATCAAAGCCCATGTCAATAGTTCTTCACCACAAAAATCACCTGGTTTTAATGTGATTGAGTTGAAAAAGCCAGAACGACCGCCATTTGTTGTCGAGCTCTCTAGTTGTCCTCTTATAATAAACAACATTTCGTTAACTGGGTCATCCTCTCGCACGATATACGTTCCTTGGGTACACAAGGACGAGACGAGGCGCTCGCATATGGCATCGAGAAGTTGATCGTCCATTTGTGAGAAGAAAGGAACCTAGAAAATCATAACATTTGAGTTGGACAGATATATAACGACACAAGTATCATGGAAACGAGCTTGGGATTGAATACACACACGACGAACGAGCGACAAACACAAATGTTGTTGAATCTCACGGCGAAGGTCAATGGGCAATGAACGCAATATGGATTCTTCATTAACTCCTCTCGTGGCTTGCCATTTATATTGAACGAATCGTCGAACTCGTTCTTGCAAATCTGGTGGTAATTGACGACGTCGCATCCATTCTTCAGTGTCCCTTCTCTTTATCCTCCATTCTTCGAGTCTTACTGTCATTGACTGCAAATATGTCTTCAAAACGGAAAACAGAAGTTGAGTTAGATTAGATATAGTTAGATTAAAATATATCTTCAAAACATTCGCCCAAAATTTGCTTTAAAAATAAGAAAAATGGTCAAAACCTGCATATTGCCAATGAGTTGTGAAAATAATATCAACCCAACTATGCACGTTGATATGCAAAATAATGTCTCGCCAAGGTAAGTTGTTGTGTCCAAAGTTTGTCCGTAAGAACTAGAAATAAACAATACATTAGCATTCAAAAGGACGATATTTGTAAGACCTACCGGACAACAATAGAAATATGGCCAAACTTAGAGGTTATAAATCTCGTTAAATCACCATCGACCTCAATCCGGTAAAGATCCAAACATAGTACTATGATACCGTATTAAATCAACTTTGAATTCAAGAACTTAAGCTTGAAAATAGGGCATAGAACCCAATAACTTAGGCATGCACATAATAAACCACTGAATCAAAAAGCGTAAACCGATGGGTAACAAAAGTTTAACCTTTTATCAACGCTTCAACAGATTTGAAGACAACTAAGTCACATGTAACGTATTTATATTTAGAAGCAAAATCGAGATGGATACCTTAAATTTCTGAGGCCCCACCAAAGACAATAAAAGTACTTAGCAATGAAGTGGGAGGAGGCAACATCACTGGTGAAAGCATCAGAGAACATTCCAAACTTGAACCTAATGTTTTCATTCCTTGGATCGCATTTGGAAGTAACATGAGTGACATTCAGCCAATATTGTCTGTCAGTGTTATTCAAACTGTTGCAATCCAAGAAGATGGGAAGACATGTTAGAACCTTGGACGCATTTTCCTTTGCACACTCTGATTTCCAGCATGCGAACTGTCTCCCTATGGACAACAAATACCATGTAGATCCCAACACCTGTAATACAAGTAACAATACACACATTTTACTAACATTTTGCGCTATCTATTAATGATAGACATCGTTACCAATCTGATTATAGCTCAACTGATTAAAGCATATACTATCGATCATAAAGTTAAAGGACCATTGCTCATGTAACAGCCCTTCTTTGCGCTTTCCCGTTTAGGGTTCCTCTCAAGATTTTTAAAACGCATTTGCTAGGGAGAAACTTCTACACCCTTATAAAGGGTGTTTCGTTCTCCACCCCAATCAAGGTGAGATCTCACTGGATAGAACATATACTCTTAATTATAAAGTTAAAGGACTCTAGCTCAACTGGTTAGCACATATACTCTCGATTATAAGGTTAAAGGTTCATATTCTCCCTAAGTTTCCGTTTCATCCCTATTGCTAAAACAGAAATAGCAATACTTTACTCGACTATCTACCACATTACACTATCTGAATCAAAATTTCTCGAAAAGAGCATGCTAAGACAGTCTTCCATTGACGACATTGACAATATCAACGACCAAATAGAACAGAAGCATAATCGAGAGCTTAAAGACTAGTAACATAACGAGAGTTTAACCGAGATGGGATATGGTGTTGTTACATGACTGGCAAGCATGTAGAGGATGAGATTGTAGGCAGCACCAGCCCAGGCAGTTTTGGCAACAACGCCAGTGGTTTTGATGATGCGTTGGTTGAGAGGGAAGATGAGGAACAGCCTTGGAACGTATTGGAGAAGAACAAGGAGAGCGATTGTGTTGTTGGCATGATCCACCCTTGAATGTCTTGTTGCTGGAATCACCAACCACATCACTATCTGATACAACATTTCAACTTCAATATGTTTGGATTCAAAATCATAATAATAATACTAAGGAACTTTGAATGTTGTTCATGGAATTCAAGGATGGTTAATGATTAGAGAGAAATTGATTGGAGCATACTTGTGGGAGGGGGAGAGTGGCGGCGAGATCAATCACAAAATCAGATTTCAAATAGCGCTTTGCAATGGCCCTGGCATCCATAACCAGCTCTCCCCTTCCAAAAACCCTAGAGCTCGGAGCCACATACGCGGTTCGAAACTTGAGCACCATGTGCAGCAAGAAGAACAGATCCATCACCGTTCTGAAGAACGTGATCACTATTCCCAGATTCACCTCCGATGTCAGGCAGGCAGGTCCCCCCACAGACGACGTGTAGAAATACATCGGATCGATGAAAAGCGCAATCAGGCATGTCACTAGAAACAAGCGATTCCATTGCGCGACAATGTCGCTGTCAGGGTCGAGGATTTGGTAACGGAGGAGGATGTAATTAGGGTGTTCGTTCGTGGCGGTCGCCACGCCTGTAGTCTTATCGGTGGACGAGCCGTCAAGGTATCGCCGAAAGGGGCGGAACTTGGACGCCGGCGACTGTATGATTCTATTCATCTTCCATGGCGGATTCCGGGGTTTTTTTGAGTTCCCCGGCGAGAAATGTGTGTTAGAGAGAGAGAGAAAGCGACAGACAGAGATTGAGGGTTGATGGAGATCGGAAGAAGAAGAAAGAAATGAGAAATTTAGGAGGAAATGGGGATGTAATTGGGTTGGTGCAAGCGAAAATCGTGGAGAGGCCAATTGGACGTGTAATAGCCAAGAACATTGATTCTTGGCCATGGCGGTTTTCTCTGAAACTTGGCTAAAATTAGGACGTTTCGATAAAGGGTTAGATTGAATTTGCTCAAAATTACAACGATTCTTTGCAATTGAATCAATCCTTATTATAAACTAATTACATTCCAATGTTTATCGTCTTGTACAATTGCAGGAACGAGGCTCTCTTTCTTCTACAACTCAAGGGGAAGAACAGAGCTTCATACCTCCAATTTGCAGGCTTCCATGGCGGACTGAGAAGGTTTATCTAGCAATTTATTGTTGAGTAGCTTCAATGGCTTTACCATTATTCTCCAAATCGATCTTCTTCTCCAGAAACTGCCTCTTACAGTCATAGAAATAAACCATAAGAACAATCCACATTAGAATATCCCCCACACACTTGAAACTCACGGACACCACATTCCCCAATGCCCCACAACTCCCCTGATTCCACAAAGCATAGAGACATGGCAGCCCAAGAGCCACCTTCAAAGCAAAGAAAACCAGCATCAAACTTAGCCCTAACTTCCTGCTGCCTCTGCTTAGATATGCTGCCACTCCAATTGCTATGTAGCCATGGTTCTTATCCAAGATTGAGATAACAATTCCCATGTTCCAAATAGCACTCCACTCTATGAATTTTGTCAACAGAAATGCAAAGATTGTCCCAAAGATAAATGAGCTTTTTGGCATCAAAAACATGTTTGTTGACAAAGCGATTAAACCCAATAGAGTTAGTGAAGCAAGTAAAAGAGCATACAGAGATGTTGCCAATGCGCCTCTCGTTCTTAGAGCCACTAGCTTTCTGACTTCAACTAGCATCTGTTTGAAACCCATTTGGGAGTTTCCTCCATATATTGCTGCTGATATAGATACTGTTGAGATTGTGGAGAGAAGGTCTAGGAAGAAGATGAGTGCTGAAGAGATGAGAGTTGATATCAGAAACTTGTGGGAGAGAGTTGGTTTGAAGTTGTCATCATCAGGGGAGCGCTGCGAGATGCAGGCTGTGCTGCCACCTAATTGACACCTGATGATGTACCTTGGAGATGGATCAACTGGATTTTCCTCTGAGAGAAGTTTGAGGAGTTGAATGAAGGTTGGGTGAAGGAGAATGTGGTGGGCGAGGAGGGAGGCGAAGAGGGGGAAGGAGAAGATGAGGACGAGAGAGATGAAGTTTGGATGATTAAAGAGGATTTTGAAGGCTTCTCTGAATGAAGCAGAGAAGCCCAGTTTGGGTTTCGCCAGAATTTGGTGGTTTTCCATTTTGAATCTTGAATTCTCTCAAGTGTTCATCGTTGAAAGAACATAGCCCCGATGGTCTTTATCTTGTTGTCATTTCCCAATGTGTTGGTGACTGGTGTGAAGCCTACATGTGCAAGCTCACATGCCAAAGTCAACTGCATTGATTTCTTTTTGGGTCCTCTCTGAGATTTTGAGGACCCAAAATTTCTCTCTAGCTAACACATTTTAGTATAGAACCACGTATAATTTAGTTAAGTGCCAAACTTAAAACGAAGGAAAATGTAAATAATCTATTAGACTAGCACCAAATACGCCATTTCAATTGGATTTATTGTTGAACAGCCTCAATGGGTTTCCCATTATTCTCCAGATCAATCTTCTTCTCCAAAAGCTCCCTTTTGCAGTCATAAAAGTAAACCATTAGAACAACCCACATCACAACATTCCCCACACCATTCAAGCTCACAAACACCACATTCTCCCAAACCCCACAACTTCTCTCATTCCACAAAGCATAGAGACATGGAAACCCAAAAACCATCTTCAAAACAAAGAAAACCATCATCAAACTGAACCCAAGCTTTCTGCTACCTCTGCTAAGATATGATGCCACTCCTATGGCTATATACCCCTGGTTCTTATCCAAGATTGAGATAACAATCCCCATATTCCAAACAGCACTCCACTCTACATACTTCCCCAACAAAACCACAAAAGGTGTCCCAAAGATGAATGTGAAGATGAAAAGTTGTAAGAGGAATGTGTTTGTTATTGACATGTGAGAGCTGCCTGTAGCCATAAGAAAGAAGTCTTTTGACAAAGCAACCAAGCCCAACAGAGTGAGTGAAGCCAACAAAACAGAGCATAGAGATGTAGCCAATGACCCTCTGAGTTTCAAAGCCACCATCTTCCTGACTTGAACTAGCATCTCTTTAAAACCCATTTGAGAGTTTCCTCCATATAATGATGCTGATATGGAGACTATTGCAATTGTGTTGAGAAGGTCAAGGAAGAAGATGAGTGCTGAAGAGACAAAAATTGATATCAAAAACCCATGGGAGAGAGTAGAGGAGAGCTGCGAGAAGCAGGCTGTGCCCTCGAGTATTTGACACATGATGATGGACGTTAGAGAAGGATCATAAGGATTTTTATGAGAGAGAAACCTGAGAAATTGAATGAAGGTTGGGTGAAGAAGAATGTTGTGGGCTGAGAGGGAGGCCAAGAGGGGGAGAGAGAGGAAGATAATGAGAGAGATGAAGTTTGGATGATTAAAGAGGATTTTGAAGGCTTCTCTGAATGAAGCAGAGAAGTCCAGTTTGGATTTTGACAGAATCTGGTGGTTTTCCATTTCTTGGATCTTCAATTTTTCTTCTGTAAGTGTTCATCTTCTCATGATTTTAAGAAGCACACAAGTCTTTCAACTCTGTCATTGATGGTCTTCTTTCTTGTTATTGCCTTCTTTCCGAGTCAATATTGGTGTTCTAATCTCTCTCTCTCATCTTTGAATCTTCACCGTTGAAGATGAGAGGAAATCTCCTGCAAGTTTCATATTGTTGGGTCCAACATACCCATGTGCCAATTTTTTCAAAGTTTATTTAAAAATTAATCTATAAAGTATTGAATTATGGTTCTAAGTTTTTCTAAGTAGGCGAGTGGAACATTTTTTTTTTATAAGGGTACGATAATCTCTCCCTAGCATATGCATTCGGCTGACGGCGATATGTAACGGACAAAAACAGACAATATCTGCTACAAGTGGGTTTGGGTTATTATAAATGGTATCATAGCTAGACACCGAGTGGTGTGTCAGCAAAGACGTTAGGTTCTTAAAGGAGGCAGATTGTGAGATCTCACATCGATTGAAGAGGAGAATGAAATATTACTTATAAGAGTGTGGAAATCTAAACACGGTTTAAAGCAGACAATATCTACTAACGGTGAATTTTAGTGTTATACTCTTAAACTTAAAATAAGTCTAATATGTTTATTTTTTATCGAACTAAGTTTTTGGATTTTTAATGTAGATTTATTAGCTAAATATTAAATGGAAAGTTTAGAGGTTTATTATATATTTTATTTAATTTTAAATCAAATTGATCAGTAAATTCTTATAAAATTTAAATATGAAGGGCATTTCCATAATTATGTTCAATTTATAATACTTTTAGAGACAAGACCTCTATAAGAGGTATTTGAAGTTGATTCAAGAATTTGAAGGGCTTGGGGATAAAATAGTAAAATGGAAAGCCCAACAAGAGCCCACATTAACAACTTTTAAATTTTATGGACCAGCCCAATACTACAACTCTTGGCCCAACCCAACGATCTTTCGTCTACAAGTCGGACCTATTGCCATTTACACCCTCATCCTGAAATATGACCATTTTTTTTGGGTGCCAAATATGGATTCCATTGATATGGGTTTTGCTTGAACAAAATTATAGCTATGAGAAGACTAAGTCGGGGATGATGATCTCGATCTCTCGAGTTGGTTGGCTATGAGAGGGTCAAGATCTAAGGAACCTAGGTGAGGAAGCGATGGCCAGTGTCCAAAATTTAGTGGGTCCATTGGTGAGGGGTGCGAGGGTAGCCCTACAACTCGGTGACGACAATTCCCTATACGACGGATGGTTCGTAGTGTAGCTTCACCAATCATCTCTTTTAACATCTTGTAGCTAGTGAGTCATGCTAATGCTAGCGTTGTTGAACATCTTAGTTCTTTATAAATAACATTTAATGCTATTTGTTTTCAAGAAAAAGTGGGAATATGTGGATGATGTTATGCCACACAATTCAACTTTGTTGTGATGATTGTGCCCAGAATTTAGTTGGTGAATATGCGTTGCAACCAGAAAAAAACACTATTATGGTTTATCTTTTAGCTCGTAGTTGATATTAACTATTTATCATATATATCTAATTTCCTCTCGTAATTAGAAATTAATGTACTTTTGTTCTTGTCGTCTCATTTTTAGAGGACTCAAATTTACTACAAATATCCGACTTGAACATAGTTTTATTTTCTTTTTTAATAGTTATTAAATTTTACTACAAATATATA